GAGGCAGAAATGATAACGCAGTCCTTGTCTTTCTTTGTTGACAGGCTTGGTCCAGTATAGTCTATCAGCTGATCCCAAATGTCCAGCAGCTGGAGATGAACCTGAGGAATTTTGCTCAGATCATTGAGGCAGATGAAGTGCTTCTGTTTGAGAGAGCCACTTTCCTGGTGAATACAGCTGTTCGGCCCTTTGTGTTTCCCTGCCCAGCCTAGGACGGAGTTCCCTGGAAGGAAAGTGCAGTTGTGGCAGTTGCCCAAAGAGAGGTGCCGGCACCAGAATGCGTTGATCCAGGCCTTGTGATATTGAAAGTAACAGACGTGACTTGGTGGCTCATATGACCTTCCCAAAATTTCCACGTCTCGTTGTTGAGATGAGGGCTTGGTTGGTATTTCCAGGCTGTGAAAGGGTTTCATATCCCCATTCTCTTGTCGGTCATGGGAGTTCTTTTGAGAATTCCTTTCTGCACAGGGCTTCTTAAGCTTGAACAAGTCTTTTCAGTTCCTCCTAGACTGGCTTTTTAACTCCTTTTTTTATCAAGTGCCTGGTGCTTTACAAACCTGCAGTATGGATAGAGGATCTCAAGCAATTGGGTTGCTGTGGGTTCTGAAATTACCATCTGTGTGGTAACTGTGCTTCTAACCTGTTGTGTTCAAAAGGTAGAACGTGTTGGTTAAAACCACCATTGCTGCTTGTCTTTCCATACTCTTAGTTTCTAGTTTGGTCTCTTGGACTTTATAACAGTGCTGTTGCTGATCTGAAGAAATTGCTTTTCGAGTCTGAGTGCTTTCCTTGCCAAACAAAGACTTGATTTTGAAGTTACCATGCTGTTTCTTTTCACTTCTACTGTCAGAAGTAGAGTTCTCCTGACAAGTTCTGCTTTTTGACCTTTTGTAGATGATAAATAGTTCCACCTTGTTGATATGTAGTGGTATTTATTTGCACTCAAAAAATGCATTTTATTTACTAAAAAACAATTTTTCTAGCAAAGAATTCAGTACTGATTTCTCAGTGTAATGGTGGCTTTTAAAGACTTTTCTCATTGTTCTCTATTTAAGCTTCTGCAGGGACTGCTTTCTCCTGCAGTGAAATCTTATTCTAAAATTGTATTCAAAGCGTAGTAACAGAAAAACCTGGAGCGTTGAGGAAAGAGATTGATACCAAAGCCTTCATGACATGCATGTGATTTTTGAATGTGGCTGAACTTGTACCTGTAGGAATAGTTGGGCAGATGTGTATGTAGAAAATAGACAGTAGTTTTCTAAGCTCCTTGAGGAGGGGAAAAAAGAGAAAGAAAAGAAAAACAACCACAAAACAAATAAAAACAATCCCACCTTAATTTCTGAAAGCCTGTTAAATATGGTTCCATGGGTGGAAAATGGAGTTTACCACCTTTGTGCAGGGCTATGCGATGCATTCAGTAGCAGTTGGTTTCATCATTCTTGTAAGTATAAAGCACACAGTGTAGTGTTCTCAAAATTATGCTCCTTTGGAGGCTTCTGTGGGAATGAAGATGCAACAACTGCAATCCCACTTAATGCTGCAGATTCCCTCCTAGGCCAGTTGGCTGGCTTGGCTGGAGAGGAGAGGAGAGGTCTGTAGGCTGCCAGCCATGTGGAAGCAGCAGGAGTGAGGCAGTCCTGGATCGTCTTGCAAGGACTCCTGAAAACTTGATCCTTTCCAACTCTGCAGCCTAGCACCAAGGTCTGCACCTTGCTGCAGGATTTCTGTGTGGGAGGAGAAGGAGGGAAGTGCACCTGAGCACGGGCAACTTAACACAACCTCAGTCTGAGTCAGGTGAGGCAGAGAGAGCTCCCTAGGAAACAGCTGCCTTTGTTCCACTTGTCTGAGCTGGGGAAGAACAGCTCGCTTTGGTTTGAGAGCAGTGCTGGGCATCCTGCGTGTTGCAGAGCAGCACACTTTTCAGGTTTGGTGTGTGAAAGTCTGCAGCATGACAGATGTAGGTAAACTGGTCCAGCATTTGTCAAAGGTCTGTTTGCCTTCCAGGAGGCGATAGTTTTGCATTTCCCCCACCTAGCACCTTCTTGTTCTTTGAAACAAGATTTAAATGGCTGCTACGTTGGAGTATTCAGACCCCACATGGACATAAATGCCTCTTATGTATCTTATGTTATTTTCATCTGCACTTGTTAAAGGCTTCCTGGGGATTGTGTGACTGCATCCTTCTTTATACTGGCACAGCTAGTGTTGCTGCTAATGGTTTCCAAAGGCAAAGGGAATCCCTGAGCTGGGCACCATCAGTTTCTCATAACTGCTGTTGCACGTGAGAAAGCTGTACTGAAATCAGTAACTAACTGCACTCTTTCTGCCTTTCAGGTCATTTCTCACTATCAGTGCAAAGAACAGCGGGATATCCACAGATTTGAGAAAATCAGCAACATTATTAAACAATTCAAACTAAGTTGCAGGTGAGCTGGCTTACTCAGTAGATGGGAAAGATACCTGGGCAGGTATTTCAGTTTCATGCTGAAGCAAGGAAACTTTCCAAATAAATATTAGTTTGTGCTTCCTCAGCAGTGTGAGGATTTGTGTTAGTTGCTGGAAAGCACCATGTTTAGAAATGCCAGAGCTTGTTATCTTTCCTAGCCTCCTCCTTTGGTGATTGTTGAAAGAGGTTTGTTTTGAAACAGCTGTTTTCTTCTGGGCCTTTTTCTCCTGTGCAGAGTAGGAACATTCCAGGACTGATCTGGTAAACTCATGCTGGCTTGGGAAGAAAGAGAGCTTACAAACTCTAATTGTCAGCATTTTGAATTGAAAGATAGAAAGCTTACTTCAGAGTAGCTGGTCTTTTGAACCACCTTCAGGTGGTTCCATAGTCGGTCAGCAACATCCAAAAGCGTAGAGCCTGAACAGGGAAGAGAAGTGGCAGCATGCTATACAGAGGTGTCTCCAGATATTTCAGCTTTATGCTTACCCCCAGAGAGTGTGAACCTCCTTTGGAATGGTTGAGCCATTACTTCAGAAGGGTCGATGGTGCTGACTGCTTGGGCACAGTGTGGGGTTGTATCTGGAGTTACAGACCTTCATTGATCAACACTCAGGTGGTTTTTGTTCTTGTTGGTTCAGTTAAGCCTAAAGCTAGAGCTTTTCCTTTAAATGAATTGCAATCTTATCTGGTGGTCATCCTGGCAAGCAACACTTGCCAGTAAATGCAGATAAACATGGGACATAAGGGGAAAATCTGTCTGAGCACTCCTACAGTAACAGTGCATTTACTTTCTTTTTTCTTTATTTTAGTAAGCTGGCGGCTTCTTTCCAGAGCATGGAGGTCAGGAACTCTAACTTTGCTGCTTTCATTGACATCTTCACATCAAATACATATGTGATGGTGGTGATGTCAGACCCTTCAATACGTAAGTTGAAGATGAGCTTCTGGCCTGTTTTTATTCACAGGGACAAAAAGCTGGACAAGTCTGGCTCAGAATGCATTTATCAGAATACAGCAAAGGCCAGACAAAGCAGTGGAAATGATTTAATTCAGAGGTACGGGGGGATCTGTCCCACTGCCTTGCCCTGTGAGCAGCAGGAGGGGAAGGTGGTTAGAAGGTGACTCTGCACAAGAGATGCGTGCCTTTGAGGGCTGGGCTATTTGTTGCTGTCCAGCGGAGAATTGTAGCAACAGTGGGGAACCACTATAACAGATGTGACCTGACTTGATAGGTCATATCTAATAACCTATTTTGGGCTGCTTTGATCTGGCAGCCACAGCGATTTTTTGAAAAGGAAGCAGAAGTGGATCGTGAGTGGTTTTTTGTTCTTGCTGCCTGAATTGTCCTGCAGGGCAAGGGCTCTAATTATAGTAGCATCTGTTTATCTGAAGAACTTGGAGGCAGTGGTGCCTGAGGCACGTTTGAATACCTAGTTGTTTTCACAACTGTAGTTGAAGCTGTTAAGAATGAAAGGTGCTTAAGACCAGCCCACTGTCCTGGACAGCTGTGTGACTTACAGCTGTTATTCTGCAAGAGGACAGGAAGATTGTTTTACTGGATTAGGGAAAACCCATGTGAACTCTGCAACCCTGGGTGAACTATTGAGCTGTGATGTTGCTGTGCCTTAGCAGCAAATGAGAAGAAGCTGAGTGACTTCTAGAACGCCTTGGGAGCAGACTAAATAGGTGCAGTTTGCTCTGCAATCAGCAGGCACCCACACCTTCCAGCATTGTGTTTGTACTGCTGGGGAGCAGGAGGGTTGATCCCTGAGCTTGTTGGTTGGGATGTTGGTACTCTTTGAGCATTGCTCCCCTTAGGGAAGATCCAGTTTCACGCTGTATCACTTCTCCAGATTAAAGTGAAATCTAGTACTGGCCACTGCAGGTAGAAGCTGTAGAACACCTGGCCCCTGCTGAACACCTTGTGGTCATAAGATTCAGAAGTGTGAACCAAGGCTACCCAGGGATGTGGGTTCAGTTTTGCTGATAGGAACTCAAATACCTGCTGTCTTTAGGCAGCTTTCAGGCGGTGCTTCTGGGGGTTTATTTTCTTACATCCTTTCTGTTTTTCTCCCCTCCCTGTCCCTGCTCCATCCTAGCTTCTGCAGCTACGCTGATCAACATCCGCAATGCCAGAAAACACTTTGAGAAGCTGGAGAGAGTGGATGGACCAAAGCACAGCCTGCTTATGCGCTGAACGTTGGCCAATGCCCATGGTCTTTGGCAGGAGAAGAAGTGGATTGGAACTACTTTTTTTTCTTTTTTTTTTTTTTCTTTTTAGGAGAATCTAACCATGTGGATGTATTTGTGGGCTTTGAAATGAGTGTGCTGCTTACCACCGCAATCTTTATTGTTTCTCCTTTTAACGTTGGACACTATCACACAGATGGTCTGGATACACTGCGGACCTTCAAAAGAGACTCCTGGCATTTGTGGGGTTGGGAAGAAGTAAGGACAGGTGATGTGCACGTGGTCTCATGCTCCTGGTTGTCAGTGGCATGTGGCAGAGCCTTTTTGGATGTTTGCTCCCAGGTGATCATACAAATCACAGGGATGAAGTATTTACTATTTTATTGGTAGGTTGCTAGAATACATTTATAAATTTCTCCTTGTCTTCAGTCATGAAAATAAATTTTTGCTACCAGGGATTTCAGATCCTGGAGCTTTGGAAAGTGGGTTTTCTTTCTTCTAAGACCCAGGGCAGCTTTGGCAAGTAGATGTGTAACAGCTGCGTTTTTCCTTTCACGGTGTTCTGGAGGTCATTGACTGAAGGTCATTCCAAAGTTTCATTTGAGATTTTCCTTTTTCCATGCTGAGGCAAAATTTGCAGGTAAAGCAGTCAAGGATGACATTGGCCTTTCAACACTTTCTGGCATGATTGAAAGATAACAGTAAAGAGGAACCAAAGGCCACGCAGCAATAGTCCTGGGATGCTCTGTCTCCCTGCTGGGGATGATGCAGGTACACAGGATCTGAAGGATGTGGCAGCTCTGGGCCATGTGTGCATATGAGCTATATTGGCTGTGTTGTGACGAGTCAGTTGGGCAGTATCTGGCACTGGTATGTCTTGACATTAAGTCCACTTTAAATGAATTCTTGTGTGTGGTTCAGTTAAACATAGGAAGAATGGAAGTGCTGTGAGTTAGGGGAATCTGACTTGGGTGGGAGCCGATGCTTGTCAGCATCTCTTCCTTTATTTCTTGCTGCATCCAATTGCTCTATAAAAGAGGGTGTGGTGACTCAGCCTGGCTCTCCAACTCTGCATTCACAAAATCATGCTTTCCCTCTGATCTCTGTCCCGCACACTGGGAAAATGCCTGCAAGGGTGAGCTGTGATATGGGACCTAAGAGCAAGGGCGCAGATCTCAGCTGGAGAGCTGAGGCTGGGCTGCACGCAAGATCTTCCATCGATTCTAAATCTTCATGGTATTAAACACCCCTGTCTTGCACCACCTACTCAGCAGATGTTTGTGATCTGTAGGACTGGAGTTGTCTTCAATGAGCATCATCAAGGAAGCATCCCTGTAGGAGAGAAGCATAGGAGCTGGTTACAAATTGAAATGTCAGTTTCTAGGGAGCTTCTGAATGGGTTTGAGATGCAGCAGAGGGTTTCTGCTTGTCTTCAGTGTTTGCAGGTTCACGTGCTGGAATGGGAGCAGCAGATCTCATGCACTGTGTGGCTGCTTTTTGACGGGCTGGAGCGAGCCGATCGCAGCTGCAGGTGCTCCTGTGGATGCTCCCACAGTGCCCTGAGGTCAGCCCCTGCTTTTGCTCTGCTCTCGTCATGGGTTTCTGCACCCAAGCCCTGTCCAGCAGAGGAAGAGGATGGGTTGCTGCCCAGCTGTATGCTGTCGGAGCCTCAGAAAGGTTGGTGTCAGGTGCCTCCAAGAGTTGTGTGTGCAGGAGATGGACTGAGAGCTGCAGTGCTGGTGTGGATCCTGGCACTTTCTGCTCAGACTACTTTTAGCAGGCAGCTGTTCTGCAATGATGAGGCCAGGATGGAGGGAAACGCTGCCTTATTTCCATGGTTACAAACCAAGCAGGGTTATCTCGTGCTGTGTGTGAGAGCAGACTGGGAGGTGCCATTGAGTTTCTTTGCAGGATAAATTGCTTGGTGTGTGAAAGGGGGATGGTGCTGGGGGTAAGTGGGAGGGGGAGGGCAAGCAGGTAATGGTGGTGTGGGGGGAGCTGATCAGAAACAGATGGGAGCAAAGTGCTGTTGCAGGTGTCCTGGCCTGCTGAGCCTCCACAGTCTGATATGATGACAGTGGCTGATGTGCTGCTGTTCTCTTATTCAGAATGTGTTTTCCTCAAGCATATGCATGTTGGGGGGGTTCTTTGGAAATCAATAGTTTGCTCTCTGGCAGAAGTGCTGCTGGTGCTTCTCCATGCACGAGATGTCAAGCAAGCAACTGCAGTGCTGATGGAAATAAGCTGATGGTTTCATCTCAACGTGACACATCTTTTGGAGGAACTGTGTTATGTTTGATTGTCTCTCTCCTAAAAGAATACCTTGGGGCCTTTTCTGGAACCTGGAGTTGCTGCCAGCAAAGCAACCAGGTTTGGTGGGTCAGGTGCCCTCACCCTGCTTTGCAGTACATTCCTCTTGGGTACTGGGGGCAGAAGCAAGCTCCCCCCTGCACTGGCTGCTTTGCAGAATCTTGCCATCCTAAACAGTCGATGTTGCACACATCTGGTCCCAGAGTGCCAAGCTCTGCTTTTGGTCAGGTTTTAGAGGTCTATCCTTTGGGGCCTGTCCATTGAAGCAGTCAACATTCCATGTTGTGAATGTTACTAGTATTTTGAGCACAGCAAATTCCCCGCTTGGCCCCATTTCTCAATAGCAGGGGCTGCTGTGAGACTGAGGAGCAAACTGCAGGGCTGCTGGGAGCGCTTGGCTGTCCTCCCTACAGCAGGGAGTGCCACTGTATGCTCTTTGCTTGCGGATTTTCTGACTGCTTCCTTCCTGCTGCTTGGACTGAAGGAAGCATAGACAAAAAGAATTTCATTTTTGTATTTTTAACCAAAATGAGGATATATTTCAAACATGGGAGCTGAAAACGAATCATTCCTCACTGTGCTTTCAGGAGTTAATGCCTTGGATGGAGCTACCTGTGCACCTTGTCCCTTCCAAGTGAGGTCTCTGAATCTGGTCTTTCACTCTGAATTCTGTCTTTCACTGCCCCTTGTAGTGGGTCAGTTCCCACCATCTTACTGTGCCAAGCCCAGATGGTTACATGAACAGTTTGGCACAGTTGGACTGTGGCCTTCCCACCCATGGGTGCCTCTATCAGGCCTCATCCTGTCCCATTTTGTCCTTCCTTTGCCCTGCCCAGCCCTCCTGCAGGGCGATGTGCTGCTGGGGCTTAGCATGATGGTGCCACATCATGGAGCAGCTGGGTTAAGGCCACCAAGGGGAGACTTGAGGACCACGATGTGGTCAGGAGGACGTGGCAAAGCCAGGGCTCTGCAGTGGTGAAATGTCAGCTTTGGCCAGAGCGGGGATAGTGCTGGGTGTGTGGGTGAGCATGTGGGTGTTTGAAGAGAGGAACAGGAGGGTGGGAGGGGGTAGCGTGGGTGGTTGGAAGGGTAATTGTGAGGTTGAAGGGATGTGGGATTAGAGGGGTATGGGGGAGGCACGTGGATGGATCGATAGGTGAGTGAATGATGGATGTGTGAGAAGATGGGGATGAGGGTGGGGGAAGGGAGGGTGGATGGATGGGGTATGAGTAAGGATGAGTGGTAGGTGGATACGGGGGTGGGTGGGACAGTGTAGCATGCATGGTTGCGTGAAGGGATGGTGAGATGGGTATGTAGGCAGTTCGGGGTAAAAGGGGGTTAGGCTGGGCCGGGTAGGTGAGAGGGCAGACATTAAGCAACGCTATGCTGGGGCAGGTAGCGCGAGTGCCTTGTCCCACCAAAGGCTGGGGGACGCAGCCGTCCCAGCCCTTCAGAACGTTGTGGGGACGAGGGCCGCACCTCCCACCGCTTCCCAGCTGCAAAACCCTCCCAAATCCCCCAGGACGCCGTGCTCCGGCCCCCAGCAGGGCGGCAGCTCCGCGGGGAGACCATGACCCCCCCCAGCCAGGCAGGGGCGTCCCCCGTTGTTTTTGGCGGGGCTTATAGCGTTGCCATCCCCGGTTCGAGGCTCCCGAGCCCCGGCTCGGCCCGGCTGCCGCCTCCCGATGTTTTTTGGGGGGTATCCCTGGTGGGACGGCCACATCCCCAAACCCCGCATCCGTTTCCACGGTAACGCGGCCGCGCGGGGAGCCGCCCATTGGCTGCCGCGGCCGCTGATGTCACTTTTGGGGGCGCCCCGGTGTTGGGGGATGGGGTGCGGTGTGGGCGTACCTCGGCGCGGCCCCGCCCCTCCCCGCCCGTGGGCGCGGCGCGGCCCCACCCGCCCCGCCCGGCACCGCCCGGGGCCCGGGCAGCGCGGCGATGCACTGCGAGGAGGCGCGCGGCAAAGTGAGTGCGGCCGGGCCGTGCGGGCGGGGGGCGGTGAGGCCACCTCCATCTTCCACCGCTTCTTAAAGGGGCAGCGCGTGCCCCGCGGGGGAGCTCGGCCCGGCTCCGGTACGTCCCGCCCGGGCCGCTCGGTGCCTTCTCGGGGCGGCGGCCGGGGGCGGGCCCGGGCGTGCGGTAGGGGCCATTTTGTGAACGGGGCGGGGGGAAGAGATGGGGCGCACGGTTCTGCGCGGGGGGTGGGGGAAGGCCCCGCTGTGCCCGCGGCGGCGCCTTTAAGAGCGGCCCCGCTGCGGGGCGCGCGCCGGGAAGGTCACAGCGGGGGAGAGGGGGCGGGGGGGGCGGGGGTGCGAGGCGCGACGTCGCCGTGCGCGCGCCCCGCCCCACCTCACCCCCCCCACGCCCTTTGGTCTTAAAGGGCCATACCCGGGGCTGGGTCCGAAGAGCCCGGCGGGACGCGGCGGGGCGAACGGCACCCTCTCCTCCTGTTTCACCTCCAGCTGTGCCTCCCCCACCCTTCCCTCCTCCCGGTTCCCTCCCGACCTCCGGCACCGCGAGCAAGGCGGGGCGGAAATTCCTGGGGGGGGCGTGGCCGGGCCACCCTCCCCCGGGGCGCTTCGGCCCCCCCCTCCCCTCCCCGGCCCGGCTGTCGGGGAGGGGGGGCAGGAGCCAAAACGAGATCGGGAGGGGTGATTCTCCCCCGAAGTGTTCCGCTGGGGTCGCACGGCACCGTGGATCCCCTCCCTCGTGCCTTTTGGGCGGGAATGTATGGATGCTATAGGAGTGCTATAGGAGCCGGTCCCTATAGGTGAGGCTGAGCCCCCTCCTCCCCGCCGTAAGACCCGTGGTCCCGTTGAGTTCCCCCTCCCGTTCCCGCGGTAGGATATCGGCAGCGGGACCCTCCGAGCACGCCTCGCTGCACCCTAACCCCGAATCGGTGTGCGGTGTACCGCTGAGTCGGCGCTGGGGGAGACCCGAGAGAGGGGACGGCTCTTTGTGCCCTCCCGTGGCTGTGGGGTCCGTGAGTGCGCTCAGCTCCAGGGGTCCTTGCCCGCGTCCCACCCATCCCCAAAGGAGCGCTGGGCGGCTCCGCGTGTGCGGGGCGTGTGTGGACCGGGCGTGCCCGGGCGGGGACACGCGTGGGTGTGGGTGTGCGGGGCCGTGGGCCGCTCTGCGCCCGCAGCAAGGTGCGTAAGTGGGGGTCGGCTGGCTGGGAAGGGGTCGTACATCGCGGTGGTCCCAGCGTTCGGGGGTCGCGCGCCCGTTGGGGCGGTTGCAGGGGGCGGCTCCGTGCGGTGCCCGCGGGGCAGGGCCGTGCCCGCAGCCCCTCCCTGCTGCTCGCTCGCCGCGGCCGGGCCCTTTTAAGGAGCTCCACCCCGGGCCGAGCCAGGGTGGAGTCGTGAGGCTATTCGCACCTCCCGCACGGCACGGCACGGCACGGCACGGAGCGGCGCGGGCCGGGAGCATGATCCTCCCCGCCGAGGGGATGAGCGCCGCGCATTCGCGGAGGAGCCCCCCCCGCGGAGCCTGGCGGGTGAGCGGCCCCTTTAAGAAGAAGGGGTGTGTGCGGTGGGGGGGTTGGGAGGGTCGGTTGAGGGCAGCGCGGCCCCTTTAAGGCGCGGGGGAGGGGAGCGGGGTGGGGTGGATGGGTGTTGGCCCCGCCCCCGGCCCCCTCCGGCCCCGCCCCTCCATCACAAAGGCGCGTGGGGGCAGCGGTTGGAACAGGTGCGGGGCTGCCGGTTTCCCCCCCTCGCAGTGGGTTATGGTGAGCAGCGAGTTGGTGAATTGATGAGCACGTTAATTAACGAACGAGCGGGGCGGCGTCTGGGTGCAGAGCGCTCTGACACTCCCCTTCTCCCCCCAGTTTTGGCAGGCGGGAGGCTCGGGGCGGGGCAAAGCGGCCCCCAGGATGAGCTCGTCCTCGCTGCTGGCCGAGGCGCCGCTGGAGCCCCCCGTGCTGCTGACCGACATCAAGACGGAGCCCCCCGAGGAGCTGCTGGCCTCCGACTGCAGCCAGCCCCAGGCTGAGCCCGTCGATCTTTCCCTCAACAAGTCCAAGGCCCCCCCGCCGCCGCCCCCCGTGCAGTCCTCACCCCTGCTGGTGGCCCCCCCGGTCCCTGCGCCCACCATCTCCATCGCGTCCTCGGGGCTCGGCACCACCTCAGCCATCCCAGCCGTGCTGTCGCCCGGCTCCATTCTGGCATCGTCGCAGGGCAGCGGCGGGCAGCAGATCCTGCACGTCATCCACACCATCCCTTCCGTCAACCTGCCTAGCAAGATGGGCAACCTGCAGACCATCCCCGTGGTCGTGCAGTCGCTGCCCGTCGTCTACACCACCATGCCGACCGATGGCGTCACCGCCATCACTGTCCCGCTCATCGGGGGCGACGGCAAGAACACCGGCTCTGGTAAGGGGCTTGTCGAGGTGTTTGGAACCCCCCGTTCGGTGGGCCCGGCCTTGGTCCTGACACAGCCGTAAGACGTGTCCCTGTCTGGTAGGACATATCCCCTGCAGGGAACCCATTTCTCCACCAAGGACTCCCTGGGACTACTGGTGGCTTAACTTCCAGAAGGTGTCCCCAGGCCCCAGCATAGGACAACAGAACTCCAGAGGCAGCCCAGCCCTGGCCATCCGCCTGTACTGAGCAGGGGACGGGGAGGTGCTGCTGGCTGCCTGCCTGCCCGTCCCGCCCAGCTCCGCTTTCAGTCCCCACTGTGTCCCCATTCCCCGAGGGTGGGGTGCCCTGGACGTTCCCTGCTTTGGGAAGCAAGAGGTGTCCTCAAGCTGCACACCTCCCCCTCATCCCCCATAGCCCTGTGCCAAACCCCCACGGCACGGAGTCACCTCTCTGCCCCAGATCGATGTGAGTTGCAGCGGGGTGGGCTGAGCCCTGCAGCGTGGTGGCTTTTCTGGGAGGTCGGTGATGTCTGTCAGCACGCTTTGCTCACCAGCCTCCCCCAGCCCGCCCCCCCTTGCTCTTTAATAGCTTTTCTTTCCCACCCCCGCAGTGAAAATGGACCCGGGCGCCATGTACCCCATGGACATGCCGAGTGACAGCGAGGACAGCGCCTCGGAGAGCGGCCCTGCGCCCTTCCAGGACCTGCAGCGAGAGTGAGTGCGCCCGCGGGTGCCGTCCCCGTCCCCGGGGCAGACAGCCCGCTGGGGGCCGCCACTCACGGCCATCCCTCCGCCCTTCCCCAGGTCCGCCACGCCGCGCCTGCCCCGCGCCGACTCCCCCGACCTGAAGAAGCGGCGGATTCATCAGTGTGACTTTGAGGGCTGCAACAAGGTGTACACCAAGAGCTCTCATCTCAAGGCCCACCGGCGGATACACACGGGTACGAACCCGCGAGGGCGGATCGGGGGAGGCAGCGGAGCTCGGTGCCCTGCTCGGGGGGGGCGTTAACAGGGCGCTCTGCCCCGGAGCCGCCCGAGCTGCGGGCCGGGAGGGGTCGGGGTGTGGAGGGGCGCGGCGCCGTTACGCCCCGTGCTGCCGCTCCGGGCGGGTACCGTAGTGCCCCTAATGCGCGCCCGCACTGCGCGCCACCGCCGCGGGGGTGGTACCGTAGGGCACCTAATATACGCCCACACGGGGCGCCGTGTTTAGGGGGCGTTACCGTAGCGCTCCTAATGCACGGGAGCATACAGCCACACGAGGGCACTGCTGCTCGGGGAAGGAAGGACAGCCGGACGGACTTGACAGGCTCGAAAAGTGGGCCTGTGGGAACCTAATGAGGTTCAACAAGGAGAAGTGCTAGATATTGGGATTGGGTCTGGCAATCCCAGGTATGTGCACAGGCTGGGAGAAGAACAGCTTGAGAGCAGCCCCTGTGCTCTGCCCTTTGTGAGGCCCCATCTGCAGTACTGTACTGAGGGCTGCAGACCAGGAAACAGGAAAGACGTGAATCCATAGGAGCAGGTCCAGAGGAGGGCTGTGAAGGTGATCAGAGGACTCGAGCAGCACTATGAAGAAAGGCTGAGAGAGGTGGGGCTGATCAGACTGGAGAAGGCTCCAGTGAGACTTCATTGCAGACTTCCAGTACGTGAAGTGCTTATAAGCAACTTTTTGTATGATCTGATAGTGATAGGGCAAAGGGAAACAGTTTTAAATCGAGAGGGGAAATTTAGTTTAGATATTGGGTGGTAATTCTACACTCAGAGGGTGGTGAGGCCCTGGCACAGCTGCCTAGAGAGCTGTGGGTACCCCATCCCTGGAAGTGCTCTGAAGTGCCTTGAGCACTTCAAGGCCGGGTGGGAGGGGATCCTGGGCCAACTGAGCTGGAGAGGAGCAACCAGCCCACAGCAGGGGTTGGGACCAAATGGGCTTACAGTCCTTTCCAGCTCAACCACTCTGTGATTCTATGATCATGGTGCAGCTAACTAGGCAACAACACAGCTGTTTTAGGGGTGTTACCATGGTGCAGCTAATAGACAGCCACACGTGACGCACAGCCGCGCTGGGGCACCGCTGCGTGAAGGGGTGTTGCCTAAAACGCACACCTATACTGGGAAACCACTGCTTTAGGGGCGTTACCGTATTGCACCTACTGCACACCCACGACGGGGAGCCACTTCTCTATGCGCGGTACCGTATTGCATCTAACGCACGCCCCCAGATAGCACGGCGTCCAGCCGGTGGCGCCCGCGGCCCGTGCTACGCCGGGGAAGGGCGGACGAGGAGGGCTGGAGGGCGGTGGCTGCCTGGGCACACCCCGCTTCCGTGCTGACCCCCGCTCCCCGCAGGCGAGAAGCCCTACAAGTGTACCTGGGAGGGCTGCACCTGGAAGTTCGCCCGTTCCGATGAGCTGACCCGGCATTTCCGCAAGCACACGGGCATCAAGCCTTTCCGCTGCTCGGACTGCGACCGCAGCTTCTCCCGCTCCGACCACCTGGCCCTGCACCGCCGGCGGCACATCATGATGTGAGGAGCCCAGCACGCGGAGCGGGGAGACGGAGGCAGCCTCGTTCCCTGCGTGCAGCTGAGGGACTGCGGGGCTGGCGGCGAGCGAGCCCTGCACCGGTGCGGGATGGTCTCCGGAACGTGCGCCTCTTCTTCTGGACCTCTCCTCCCCGCTGGCGACACCCGGAGGCTCCTCTCGCCGCGGCCTCCCGGCCTTCACCCCGGCCCTGCGCACTCACCTTTCCAGGGGCGGTGCGGACGCAGCCACAGCCGAGGTGGGGAGACGTCCAGCCTTGTGTCTGCCTCCTCCCAGCCCACCTGCATTGCCTCGTCCTGCCCCAAGGGATGGGGAGAAAGGAAAAAGCAAAAGGGGAGGACAGAAAGAACCCTGACCCACCCGTATGAACACCACCGCCAGGAAAAGGGAAACTTTGCGGAACGTGGAACTGTGATTTTATGGAGTTCTAAGGGGGGTGGGAAAAGGGGGGGGGTCACGCCAGCTTTCAGTTTTCGGAGACTATGGGACAGTTGAACCATTTATAAGTTAAAAAGGCATCAGCCTCCCTATGGACTGTGGCCACGCACTTTTCTTTGTAATTGTAATTGTTGTTTTTGTGGGGTTGGCCCAGCTCCTGTGCTGGGAGGGCAGAGGGCTGGGGGGGGGGGGGGGAGGGTCAGTGAGGGGACAGTGACCATCAGGGCCGCTTGAAGGGAGGAGCTTCAAAAAGTTCCTCTAAAGCTTCGGGAGGAGGCAGAGCCCTTCCGGTCCATGGCTCTCCTAGGGGCTTTTCCTCTGTATGTATGTGTGTCTGTGTGTCCCCATCACATTCCCTATCCCAGAGCAGCACTCTCCATCTGGTCTGAATGTTCGGTGGTGGGAAACAGCCCTACATCCTTTCCTGCAGCCTTGGGGAGACCCATGCAGCCCCGGATCAGGAGCTAAGGACAATGCTTGGGGGCCAGCACCAGTAATGGCACACAGCAAAGGTCTGTCCTGCAAATGTGCCCAGGATGGGTGGGATGGTGGTGGAACCTTTTGGGGTGAGGGAGTGGGGACATTTCTTTGGCTTTTTTTTTTTTTAAAAAAAAACCATGGGATTTAAAACTCCTGAGCTGTGATATTTGTACAAAACCATTTGACGTTTTTCTACAGGGGAATAACATTGGAAGCAGAGGAGCCTGGTGGTGTGTGTCTGTGCTGCAGCAGCGGCAGGTTGAACACTGGGGACGAGCATGGCTGGGCTTCACCATCTCCTTTGCAGGGCTCCCGAGTTCCTCTTCTGAGGTTTTATTGAAAAGCAAGAGGTCTAAAAAGGGAGAAAACAAAAACCTAAATTGGGTGCTTTAGCTGCAACCCATGTTGTCTCCAGGTGCATCAAGAGGAGAGCTGATATGCGGAGCAGAAATTGACTGCACCAATGACAGAGACACGGAGGACACAACGTGCATATCCCCACTCTGCCTGTCTCAGCTGCCCATCACAGCTCTGTCAGTTCCCACTGCAGGCTGGGCATGGCCCTGTGCTCGAGGAAGGTGCCTGGGTCCTGCTGGGCTCCCACCTCCTCCCTTGAGATCCTCTGTCTCTGTCAACCCTATCCCCTGTGCCCTCAGGGCACTAATCACCTTTAATTGCTCTGAGTATCCTCACCAGGGACCTCTGCCCACTCTCCTGAGCCCCAGGCTCTCATGGTGCTCCCTCACCTTCCTGAGCCATGTTGTGGCATGCTGGCCATGGATCCCAACCTGTGGGCCGACATCAGGCCTGCCCTGTCCCCGTGGACCTGCCTGGTGGCCATCTTGACCTGCTGAGTCTCTATGGAAGCTGCTGGCCCTCTCCTGTGCCCGGTGCATGGGAACACACACCTCACGACCTCCTCTGAGAGGCTTATGGACCCCAAAGGCCTCCAAGATGTGCTCTGGAGGCTGCAGGTAAACATCTCAGCCTGGCCATGTTCACAAATGACTTCCCCATGTGTCTGGAAGCCACAACGCCTCCTCGCAGCCAGCCAGTAGCCCCCTCTGGTCCCCAGCTCTACATGTCCAGGCCAAGGGCAAGGTGAGCCCCAGAGACGTTCAGGTTGACTTGTTCCTTGGGGCAAGAAATGGGTCCCAGCTGAGCTCAGTGACCCCAGACCCGTCCCTATGCCTTCTGCTTCCTCTTTGAGACAGCAATCCGGATCCACGGTCCTTCTAACACTGTGCTGAGGCGACCATGGCACCTGCACAACCTGCCTGGACTGCAGAAGGGATCTAGACTTCAGGTTGGCTTCACCGTAGCTCTTCCCAATAGGAATCTTCCAGGCATTGATCTTCCAGGTGGGGGGTGAGTGGTTGACCCCATACAGGGACCTTGCCCCGTTTCTCCCCCAGGCTGTGGGGTTACCCAGTGCTGTGGGGTCATCTTGGTTCGTGGTTCTGGGGGGCCGGGGGCCTCCTGCCCACACTCACCGGACTGGTTTAGCAAGAGGAGGGGCAGCCGCCTGCTTTGAAGGGCTCCCTGGAAAGGTTCGATGGCTGCAGGAGAAAGGAGAAGGCAGGAGAGGTGGTTTTGGGTTTCAGCGGGGGAGCCGGCAGCCCTGCAGAGCTTTGTCTGCTGCTGGTGGCAAAAAGGAACCCAGGGGATCCTCCTGCATGGGGCTCCCCACAGCCTCTGTGCAAGAACAGCTGCACCCAATGGGAGGTGAATGTGGGGAGGACTGGGGACAGTGTGAGAGGTGGGTGCTGCCCTCAGCTGCAGTTCAGGGATGCTCAGCCCCCGGGTAGGGCTGTGCACCAGGAGATCTCCGCGCCTGGGAGAAGGGGCAGGAGCCTTCATACTGCAAGGGCAGAGCTCTGCCTGCTGGGGAAACGGGGCTGAGGGGAAACGGGTTGGGGGTTTTTTTGGCTAGAGAGGCAATCTGTATTCCTGCATTGTTCAAGGTTTGGGCACTCCTGATACATATTTTTTTTTCCTTTGCCCTCGAAAAGCAACCTGGTCGTAATTGCAAAAGAAAAAGGAATTCACAAAAAGAAAAACGTGAACTGGGCACAGCTGCAAAAAACAAAACAAAACATAAAACACCAACCCAAACCAAACAAGGCATCATTGCAAAAAATCCTGGGTGTGATTGCTTGGTCTGTCCATCAGAGCTCAGGAGGAAACCTCTGTGCCCTCACGCTCGCGCTTTGAAAACTTTTTCAACAAGTCGTTTAAAACTTCGAACAAAACGAGGGAAAAATGAAGTGAGCTCCTTCCCCCCTCACCCACTCGCTTTCCCTCTCCGCAGCCGAGCGCTGAGGAAGGAGGACCCCCGCCCCACGCGGAGCCCCCCGGGCACAGCGCACCCCGCGGCCGCGTCCCGTGCCGGGTCCCCGCGGGACCGAGCGGAGCGGGGCGCGCCCCAAGGCCGCTTTTATCCGCCCGGGGCCGGCAGCGGGGCCGCGGCGGGGCCTGATTGGCCCGGCCCGGCCCGGCCCGGCCTCACCGCGCTGCAGGTCGGCGATCCTCCTCCGAGCCCAGGTAAAGCCTTCCCCGGCACCCGGCTCCCAGCCAGCTCCGGGGCCGCACTGCCGGCGTCTTCTCCTTCCCCACCCTTCCTTCCCTTTTTTTTTTTTCGCCTTCTATTCCCAACCCCTTTTTTTTAAAAAAAAATTGTACTATTCCCCGTTTCTTCCCCCTTTTATTTACTTTTTTTCTTACCTTTCTTTTCCTTTTGTATTGTTCCGTCGTTATATATATTTTCCCTTTGTTTCCCCCCTTTTTATCATTTCCCCCCTTTCTCTCCCTTTTTCTCCCTTTTCATCTTTTTTTTTTCCACCTTTTTCCCTTTTTTCTCTTTCTTTCCTTTCCGCCCCCCTTTTCTTCCCTTTCCTCTTCCCCCCTTCCCACCTTTCCCCCATTTCCCATCCACCCCTTTTCTTCTCTCCCTTTCCCTCTCCCCCAGCTCCGTCCCTGGCAGTGGGCGCACACAGGGATGAGCAGCGGGCTGGTGCTGCGCGCCCCGCTCCCCGACGACTCCTCAGCGTTCACCCCGCTGAAGCCCGTCACCATGTCGGGGGAGCATGGCGAGGACACCTCCGTCTTTGAGGACATCAAACCGCCTGCTAGGGCCCCGGACAACCCTCCTGACCTGGCACAGGTAAGGCGGAGGCCCCCGGAAGGCTGCTACAGCCTCCAGCTGAAGACCGATAGCTGCGTGCATTTGCTTTAATTCTGTTTTGTTCAATTTATATGTGGTTTGATTCTGCTTTTTCTCTTGCTTTTTGGCACCTCAACCGCTTTGCCCGCTCATCCTTTCCCCTCTGTGGCTCTTTCTCCCGGCCGTGTTCGGTTTCATATTTTTCTCCTTCCCTTCTTTGCATTTCTCTGTGCTTCTGTTTTGGAGTTTTGGAGCAGAGCTCTGCTCCTGGAATGGGTTTTGCTCGCTGCAGGGAGCACCCAGGGCCCCGTGTCTTTGGGGACACCACAGACACTGGGATTGCATGGTGCAAGGGGAGCATTTTTATGATTATTAATCTGATTTCTGCCTCATGGAAGGAAAAGAATGCACCTGAAAATTGCCCAGCCCACTGTTTTCCCCCCACGCATTCTGGGGATAAAGACCAGGATTTAGGGTGGCAGGGCTTCTCCCTGCCACAAGGCCGTCCTTCCCAATGGGAATCAAGTGGGAGCTGCTGTTCCGGCCTCTTTCCTCAGACACACGGGGCGAGCGGGGCCATGGCTGATGATCCCCGTGTTCCCAGTGCTGCTGTGAGCGGGGCCCCGCGAGGTGGCGGGAGGGCGGCTCCCAGCCCCATGGCTGCCCCATGGGGGCACCTCGTCCCGCTCTGCCCTCTGCCATGGCTTGCCAGGACGGGGCTGGCTGTCGGTGCTGCTGGACAAGGCTGTGACCCATCACTGCTCTGGCCCCACAGCGTGTCCCAGTGCCCCCCGGAGCCTGCCCACCGCAGTCTCCTTATCTCAGTCCTCTTCCCCACTCCACAAGTCGCTGCTCTAACAAGGGGAGGGGGGCAGCTCTTTGCTGGTGGAAACATTATTTGATCCGTGTTGGGAGGAGATCGGGCATTCATGGAGTTTGCACTTGTTTTGGCCCTTTTCTCAGCCTTGCCAGCTACTATGACCCAAATTACAAAGCGAAAAGAAAGGAGATAGAAATGTTTTCCCATTCCAGTTTCGACTGGATTGACCAAAAAGAATTTTTCCCTTTAAATCTCAAGAGGCTGGTACTAGAAGGGAGAGAGAGAAGGAAAATAAACAAACCCAAGGTGCATTTGGGGAGGTGTTCCAGGGGAGAAGGAGACTTTCCCACTGCGGCACCCCCACGGCTGGCTGCTGCCAGAGAGGAGGCTGCATCCCTCTGAGCTGGGTTTGCTCTCTGGGCGGCTGAGTGACCTTGCTGCTGAGTGGCCTGAGCCTCTTGGAGCCACCCACAGCTTTCCACCTGCCTTCCTTGGGTGCAAGTGTTGTCTTATGTGGTGCAAACCCTCTGCACTCCTGTGAGAGCTGGTGGAAGTCATGAGAACAGGTCTCTGTGACCCTGGGGATGGTTCTGTATGGCCAGGAGCATGATGGCGGTGGTGTGTCCCTTGGTCCCTGCCAAGCATGTGGGACAGGAGCTGGCTCCTAGTGTGCTTTCCTGCAGCTGGTGAGCAGCACAAGGTGCTGCAGGGGCTCATCACTATGGCTGGATTGCTAAAACAGGGGAGAATGGGGCCTGATAGGGGAGTTCTGTTGTACGATTTGAGGATGGCTGTGGTGATTCAAAGGGTCACGCTGGTTGCAGATCTTGCAGAGCTGGTGCTGGAGGATCACTTGGGCCTGCTGCAACACTGGGTGAGGTCAGGACCCAATGTAGAAGTGGTTGTGAAGAGAGAACAGAGAAAACACAGCCTGTCTCCTGCCATGACTGCATGCCCTGGCTGTTAACACGGCCAACCGTGCCCTGGGTTGTACAGAGGCAGCACTGCCACCAGGCGAAGGAAGGGATTGTCCCGCTTTGCTCTGCACTGGTGTGTCCTCACCGCGAGGTTTGAGTGCCACAAGATAAGAAGCACATAAAACTATCAGAGAGCATCTAAAGGAGGGCTACAGAGATGAGGAAGGGCCTGGAGGGCACGGTGTGTGACGGTCCCTGGGCCTGTTGGGTCCAGACCAGAGGAGTAGAGCAGAGCCCTCACGGCAGCTGCAGCTCTCATGGAGCAGAGGGCAGCGCTGAGCTTTGCTGTCTGTGACAGCAGTGGGGCCTGAGGAAACGGGATGGAGCTGCATGAGGGGAAGGGCAGGGGGTCAGGGAATGGGTCTGCCCCAGAGGACAATGGCATGGAACATCCTCAGGGCAGTGGGCACGGCCGGAGTTCAAGGAACATCACTCTCAAACTCCAAATTGGGTTTGGGTATTGGGTGGTTCTGTGTGGAGTGAGGGGTTGGACTCAGTGGTTACTGTGAGTCCCCTTCAACTTTGGGATATTCTTTGATTGCCTCCCTTTTCTCTAGTGGGTCTTGTGAGGACCAGGGATGTCCTCACAAGAACTTTCCTGTTCTTCAGTGACCCAGCGCTCTGCACAGCATGCTTGGAACTGGGGTGATGGGTGCTTAGAGGGGAGTGGAGTAGTTGTGTTGGGATCAACTGGAGCCCACAGCCTCCAGAACCAGCCTGCAGGTCTGCACGTCTGGTGGTCTCTGTGCCTGGCAGGTGTCTGCAGGGCTGCAGGGAACTGAGCTGGCGTCTGCAAAGAGGATGGGCTCATCCCCACGTCCCCACAAGGAGACCTGTCGGGTTGGTGGTGGGCTCAGCTTAGCCATTACCACTACGGTTTAATTTTGCTGCATCCTCCAGACGCACAGACTCCCTGGTGGTGAGGTGTGGGACGAAGCAGCTTGGCTGAATTTTGAGCTGTGGGAGCACAGTGGCTTTGTGCACGTGGCACAAAGGACGATTGTTCGGCCGGGACGCTGCGCTCGGCGGGCGGCTGCAGGAGGGGATGCAGCCAGGGGGGCTGCAGGTGTGCTGCTGTCTTCCCTCCTGCTGTTTCCCGGAATGAGGGAGGTTGCAAATCAGCCGGGAAAACGTGTTTGCTTGTCTCTGACCACTGAAAAGGCGGGTAGGGGAGGGAGGGAGCGAGCAGGGGACTCCGACTCGTAATAAATGCAACGGATTTCCCTTTATCACTCTTCCTGAATGGCTGTGGGAGGCACACGTAGGTTGGAATTACTCACAAAAGTTTAGGGCAGCTCATTTTTGACCGGTGCATCATCCACTACCAAGTTTCCTCTCACAAACCTGTTTGGTCAGCTACCTACGCTACTTTGTTCCCTGGTCCAGTGAGCTCCTTTATCTAACCCATCCACTGCAAATAATCGCACTTACCACCGTCTTGTTAGCTGAGCCCCTTGATTAGAATATTTGCTTTCCTTGTGCTCCATTGGTGAATTGGGTGAGTCACAGGGTACTGTTGGTGTTTGGGGATTGGATAACCAGTGTTTACAATTCAGATGTTCTCAGAACTTGAGCTAGCATGAAAACTCTCAAAAAAACCCCATGGGCTGTTTCCCACATCAAAGAGGCTCAGCCCCTCCAAGCTTAGATTGAAACTCAAACAAAGATTCTTTCATTAAGTTCAGAAATGCTTGGAGAATTCTTTGAAAATTATTTTTTAATTTTTTTTTTAATGTGATGAGAGACCTTCGAATTTCCACCAAGGACAGGATTTGCAAGTATTCAGATGTATTTAATGACCTTGCTCCTTGTAGTATTTCCAGTACTAGCAGGAGAATGGCAAGAGATCAGTCTCATTAGAGTCAGGTCAGATCCTCCAGCCTCCAAAAACGTGGCTCCTTCTTTCTTGTAGGAGTGTAGTTTGTTGTCCATCCACTGTCACCCCTGTCATATCTGAGGCGATTTGTTTCACAAAAATGCAGATGCCTGTTCACCAGCCAGCTCAGCCCTTTTTAGCATCCTTGCCTGTACATCAGTTTTTCTTGCTAGCAGAGGGAGCTAAACAAAGGGAGGGGTGGGTTAATGCTTTCACTGAAAACCCCTGCAAAGAATGCAAGGTTTGATGGTGTTCACTAATAGGATGGAAATGACTCAAATCTGTTAAACGAAATGGAAAAATTCAGTCACTCCTTTCTGAGTGTCCAATCTGTTGTTACTTCAGTGCAGAGCGTTTCATTGTGAGCATCTTCAGTGTTTGGTATTTTGGTGGCTCTGCATCATCCTTTTGGGAGAACTTGATCATTAGCTTGACTGGCTGTTTGATGTCACCTCTGGGGTATCACCTCATGTTTTCCAGGGCCTGGCAAGCCCCATTCTATGAAATGCTCCTGCTGGAGCTTCTGCAGGGCTCAGCACCCTTCTCCATGCAGCCTGTCAGCCTGTGCCCTGATCAGTCTCCCTTAATTAGAGCGATTGGCTATTCATTTCTATGCGTGGAAAATGTGGAAGAAGAGGGTTTATTCTGAGGGAAGGAAGCTGGAGGACACTCTCTGAGGATTGCTGCTTGAGGACCCTGCTGGCAGCACGGATGCCACGAAATGTGTAGGGCAGTGTGCACACCAGAAAGGACTGCACTAAGTGTCCTCTCTGTCTGCTGTGATGATCAGGGCAGTGTTTACTTGGCCTTGTGACACGCTAGGTGCTGTGCAAGCCCAGAAAAAAGTTGGCCCAAAGACCTACTCACTCGAATACAATGTTTCTACATGCCTTAGGGTTTGTTTTGTTTTGCTAACTGGTTTGGCGAGGAAGTTGAAAGCTGCAGAGATGGTGGGATTTCTGTCTGCACATGAAACCTGACCTTGCTTCTCCCAGACGTGCATGGGGTATTGGGTCTGCTTCGCTCATTGTACGAGGAAGAACAAGCTTTTTGGCCTGTCTTATCACCTGCTGATTGCCAGGAGGACTTCACAAGCCTCAGCAAGCAGCAGATGACTCATTCTGCCTTTGTCAGACCTTGCCCTGGGAATGTGCATCTTTTCTTCTGATTGGAAGAGGCTGGGTGATGAGTATGAGCTTTCTGATGGTTTGAGTGAGGTGGAATGAATCCCACCCATAATCTGGCTGGAGGAAGTTCCCTATGAGCACTAACAGCCTCTCCCATCATTGGTTCAGGACCTGCTGGAGAGCTCAAGAACTAGCCTAGTGCCCACTAGCCATGCAGTAGCTAGAAATGGGTGGATAAATTTGTCTGGGCCAATTTTTAGGAACATTTGAGTGCTTCCATCTAGTCAGATTTGGAGGAGAGGAAGTGCTGGAACAGAGTCTGCAACCAGGATGGAGAAATGGTGCTGCAGGTGGGCCAGCTTCTAGCTGAAGAGAGCAGCAGGGGCTGTGTGGCTCTTGGAGGTCAACTTTTGGTTGTATGCCTTAACTGGGGGAACATTTGAACTGCATGTTTTGCCTGGGGCTGATCTTCCAGGATTTGAAATAGCACTGTATCATTGATCTTTCCAGAAAAGCATCCATACCAAAGTCTATCCAGTGCAGCCTCCAGCAATGTGTGCCCACTTAGGTTGATGGAAAACCTCCAGTTGGCTTTGATGGGCTTGGCCCCAGACTCTGCTGAGCAACAGCGCTTTGGAAAGAGAAAACTGCCTACAAAGGCATGACTCACTTTTCAAGAAGGTGTCCTCATGTCATCCCCTCCCATGAAGACACAGTTTCAGAGGGCTGTCCTTCTGCCAGGGCAGAGTAGGGAGCAGTGGGTGAGGAGGGAGCTGCCCCTCTTTCCTACCCACTCTCAGGCTCCATGCAGGCAATTGTTTTGTGCTTGGTAGGTCTGGGAAAGGGAAAATCAGTGTGGGGTTACTCTACTACTGATGTGAGACCTCTCATCCCAACCTAGATCTGTCTAAGGCTAGGTGGACCAGGTTGCTGTGGTGTTCAGTAAGGCCTAGAGATGGTGCAGCAGGGCCAGAGCTTCCTCTAAGGTCGACCGTAGATATTTTTCACTTCATTTAAGCCATTGTGTTTGGAAAGATTTCTGCTCGTGTTCTTAAAGCCCCCTGAAGCTTGGCTGCTCCAAACTGGCCCTCTTCTGGGTACTTGACCTTGGAGCTAGATGACGGTGTTCTGCTTTCTCTGGCCTTTGGGATCACTGACTGTGGTGGCATGGTCTCTGTGATAAATAACCAAGGTAGACTGCCTTTCAGCGAGTCCTTATCAGTCGTTGGAAGAAAGGAATAGCAAACAGAGTCAGCAAGCCTGCTGGAAACACTGCTGCCTATTGGCTCAGCCGGAGGCCATCTGGCCACATCTGCCTCGATGGCAAATCTTGGGCTTAAGAAAATCCCTCGGTTCCAAGAGGTGATAATTAACTCAGGTAGTTCAACTGCAAGGGCAGAACAGAGCTCTGGAATAACCCTCCAAGGCAGCGTGGCTGAGCTCCAGCTCCAAAATCTGGGAAAAGGGTGCATCCCTGTGGCCTTGTCGTGCTCACAGTGGTGCTCTTGCAAATGGAAAGGTGTGAAATTTCAAAATTGGAAGCTGGTGGGGCAGATCACCTCTGGCAGCCATCTCCACGGGCTCCAGGAAGAGCTTGCACAGAGACTTCAGCTTAGATGCTCGCTTTCCAAGTGGCCCAAGCTCGTAAAGATGAATCTTGCCCCATTGCACCTAATGCTGAATGCTCTAGGGGCAGTGCTACCTCTAGGAGTTGCTCCTCACCTCTTTGGGATGGAGCAATCAGAGGAGCCCACCTGTGGCACCCACTTACCTATGACCAGGGTTTGGCTTTGCTGCCTGCAGTCGTGCTGGGCTGTTTGCAGCAGCTAGGCATTAAGCCCTGTGAACTTGAAAGGAAGAGTCCTGGGGCTTTCTCTACTAATCCTGTTTTGCAGAGAGTTCCAGAAGACTTGAGGAACAAACAGAAAATAACGTTGATCGAGGTCAATATCAAAACCAAATGATCAGAGAAACAAATATTTACCCAAGTCAATATTTAACTAGGGAGACAATAAATGCTGATATTGAACCAAATCTGTATATAAATACGGTCTATTTATAACGTGTCCCTTTAAAGGGGCACTGCCAGGTACTTGCCATGGCTTTTGATTGATGATTATCCTCCCCATTGTTTGCCGATTCCCTTGGAGGTTGGAGTTTCATGCAGGTGCAGGCAGGAGAAACAGACTGCAACTACATAATCCCACAGCCTGGCCATCGTTGCCCTTGTCCCATGAATGCGTGGGGAGGTCCCCCCCCAGTTGGGGAGTGGGCAAGGGGTTCAGGGTCGTCACTTTGCAGAGCAGGAGGGGGCTGTGGCCAAGAGGGCTGGAGGGTGCCAAAAAATGAAGCAACTCTTTGCTTCTTCCCTCCTCCCCTCCCCCCCAGCTGCTTTCTCTGCCAACTTCATGAGCTCGTTGCCTGTTTAGCAAACATCGATTTCTCTCCTTGTTCCTCTGTGGTGACCACATTTGATGTTTCTATGGCAGTTTGTTATTTATCAACTTCAGATTAGAAAGCATTTAATCATGGGAAAGACATGTCCCACCTCCTGCCTGGTCAGCTGGCTGTGCCTCGCACCTTTTTAACGATGCTCCTGGTTAATCGCTGGCAAAACGGCCTGGTTGGCTCAAGCTCCCATTTTTGTGTGTCCTGCCAAGAAATGTTTGTCTGGGGCTCTGCGTTTATTGATCAGTGTCCTGATAACTACTCAGCCTGCTTCAGATGGGATTGAGATGAGAGATGGGGATCTCCAAGGCAGGAGACCCCTGCAGGGCTTTTGGAAGTTGGTGGTTGGCAGAGTGGGAGGACTTGGGTCTGTGTTTGCTGGCCGCAGGAGCATCCATTTGAGGGAGAGAAGAAGAGTGGGGAGCCCCTTCCCTCTGCCTGCATGGGTTTTTGCTTTCTTTCCGCTGGCAGATCGAAAAGACCATCCTATATGGTCAGAAATAGATACTGTGACTTTGAGGGGAAAATGCAGAAATTTAGCATTTTTATTGCACTGAAAACTATTCCCTTCCTGGCCAAACTGAAAATCTCGGTTTGGAGGAGATGCCTCTGAAGCATGGAGGTTTTGTTGATGTCTGCTTTGGCTCTGTTTCCCCTTGGCTCGGGTTTTGCTGGAGCTAGTGACCCATGACTCCTGGCACCGTTGTCGGTGCAGTCAGTGAAGCCTGGGGCATGCCCGTCTCCTGACCCTGTGTCTCATCCTCATCTGCAGCAATGCCATTACTAATGCTTACAAGGGAAACTGGATCACTGCGCCCTCCAAAAAGTTGCTGGCCCTTCATCTGGAAGGCCCTGTGTAATCTTTCTCCATGGTCTTTCTCCATAGAGCCAGAGTGGGATGGCTCTTGCAGTATTGAGGTGCACTGAGCGCTGTGGCTGTGTGATTGGCTTAGTTCTCAAAGAGGCAAGAAAATAGTCAATTTTCTGCCTGTGCCTGTCAGATGGGGAGGGTGGAACAGGCTGACTATTTCTGGTCGTTCCTGCCTCATGTGAGCCACTGCAGAGTCCTCAGCTGCCCTCCCAGGAGCTTGGCTGAACTGTGCATGTGGTATTGAAGCTGTTTCTTGCAGGTGATGGGATGCAAATCCCCAAAAACCATCATAGCTCTATCCCAGAGGCTTCACCATGAAGCATCTGTTCATGCTTCCAGTCAGCCCGTGGGACCAGCAACCCTCCAGCGGTGGCAGATCTCATGTCCCCAGCTCTTTTGGCACCTGTCCTATCAAGGCCACGTGGTTTTGTGGTCTGTCATCAACCTGCAAGAAACATCTTCCATTTGGATGCAGCTCTCAGAATATGTACACTTCACAGGTGGGAAAACTTAGTTGAGTTGGTTTTGCGGGATTGCTTTGAGACAGAGTGAAGCCTATTCTGGTTTCCATCCCTTGCTGCTGTGCCTGTCCACCCTATTAAACGTCCACCGCTCCTACGGTGAGGAGATGAGGCTTTACCACAATCCTGGAGAAACCTGGTGGTTAGGGTGAATGCTAGTGGAGGAGAAGCATGGCACACTGAGAGGCAGCAGCAGCTGCGAGAGAAGGGTGTGGAGTGAAAGTGGGCTGTAGGCTGTTGTTGATCCCGCACACACAGTGTCAGGGCCCTCTCCACCCTTTGGCGAGGATTAAGACAAAAACAGAGCGTGATTGCATGAGCTGGGAACCAGGTTTGCCCCTCCTCCCCTTGCCTGTGATTCTGAAGAGGAAAGCAAGCCAAAAAAACATTGCTGTTGGTGAATAGAGGGAGGGCAGTATCATGGCTGTGTTCCCACCTCCAGGCTGGAGGAAAATGGCGGTTCTCCCAGCTGCTCAGGATGGTTACCCAGAGCTGGTTCTGAAGAGAACCACTGGTGAAACCCCAATGGAAATAGGGTACTAGAGAGAACAGTTTAGGAGGCAGGTTTCTACTCATTGTCCCTGCAGCCCTGCTTGTTTCTCCATCAGCCTCTGAAATGCATGTCCTGGGGGTGCTGGCTGGGGCTGCAAGGGTGCAATATGCAGAGGTGCGGGAGGTGGGCTGGCTTCAGGAGGACCTTTCCACTAACACAGCCCTGTCTGTTCCACAGCTGCACCCCATGAGGATGGAACAGCGGATGCCACTCACTCTCGAGGTGAAGAGCTTTCCTTCTTTCTCTCTCTGCTTGTTTCTTCCCCTGTTTGTAAGAGGTACCTGTAAGAGATCCCCCACCCCAGTGCAGGCCATCCAGCAGCCTATTCAGAACAAAGTGGTAAGGACGTGGTGGCACCTCCCTACTTCTTCCTTGAGGTCCTGCCACTAGCAGGGGTGCATTTCCCCCTGCCTATGGTGCCTCTATCCGTGCTAGCCATCTGGGTGACAGTGAGGCTATCTCCCCCATTGTGAAAAGCGGTGTAAGCAGCATCTAGAAGGAGACACCTGCATTTGGGATTCTTGAATTGGATCCCACCCAGGCATGACAAGAAGGCATCCCTACATGTAGTCATCCCAGCTCTTGTGTCAGCTGTGGAATGAAGGGTGGTTTTGGGATAAAGTGTTAGGTGGGAGGTGCTTAGGTGAATGGTTTGGTGTTAAGTATTTGCTCAATGCCCAGCAAGCAAGGAGCTGCCTGGTGTTGCTAGGTTTTCCTGGGCCACAAACAAATCAAGCAGCTCTTCTGAGGACACCTCTGGGGTCCTGCATGTTCTAGAGCATCACCGGCATCATAGTGATGATCTAAGTTCCAGTAGGGTGGGACCTGCACCCTCGCAGTGATTCTGCAGCCAAGGACAGGGCTGAAAGTCTTCCCTGTCCCATCAAAGACGATTACTCTGCTCTTCTGAGAAGTTGTGCCCTAGCTTTCCCCTGGGGCTGCCTAGGATCAGAAGTGGATTTATGAGACTCCATGGAGTGGGACCAAGCACACCTTGACCTGCAGGTAGAGGTGAGGAGAGAGGGAGGGGAGACACTGGGCAGGGGAAGGCAGTGACAGCAGTTGGACAGATGAATGGTCTCTTAGTGACAATGCAGCCTTAGAGCCCTTTCTCCACCGAATATACCTGCCTGGCCACCCTCTGCATAAGAACCTATTTGAGTGTGGGGGGGAGACCTTTCCTGGGAACTGAAGGTGAGAAACTCAAATACCGGAGATAAGGGAAGGGCAGAAGTAAAAGGCATCCAGCGCCTTCCCCCTGCTTCACTCCCCCAGCAAGTGGGGCCTTTTCATCGCTCAGGTATGTGCGGCATCTGGAGCCTCCGGTCCCACCCAGGGGTCCAGTTTGGTGCCAGGGTGGGCGCACAAGCAGCACCCAGGGCTCAGCTCTCTGTGTGGCGTGGCTCTCCCATACTGGGTGCTGTGGGGGGGGCAGAGAAGGGGCCAGGATTTTGGAACAGTGCCCAAGGATGGGTCCTCTGCTCTGAGCTTCCACTCATGCAGAAGAGGATGTATTTGTGGCATGTGCTTGTGTTTGGGTGGAAGCCAGCTTAGTCGTGCATTGCCATTGTGACTTGCAGAGGTGCAAAGGCTCTTTGAATTCTCTGGAAGCACAGGTGATGTGTTTCACTGGAAAGGGCGAGGAAAGTACCTTGGATCCTGTCCAGCTTTGATAAAAGCAATGAACTTACAGCAGAGATGACTTTGGCCTGGTGGCATAGTTCACAGCGGCACAGCCCTCGGCTCAAGCATAATGGGTGTGGGATGGGAGCAGCCTGCACTCCTCAAGTGTATTGTAGGCTCTGCCAGGGAAGCCCTGCAGTTTTGCCAGCTCCTCTACATATCAATGAGTCTATGAGGGCTTTGCAATCAGCTTGACACAGGGATAACCACATAATTAAAGGCTGTAGCTTTATAGAAGAGCATTAGTGCTTGTGTATTTAACCACAAAGAGCAGAAAGTTGAGTCATCAAATGCCAGGGGATGAGTTTCCTAGTGGGTTGCTCCATCAGGTTGCAGAATTATTGGGCCTGGATCCAGTGGGATGCTGCATCAGGCATGAACTCTGACAAGCAGTGGCTGAGCTATAGGTTATGATAGCCTGGTAATCCAGGGCTGTACAACTCGACCAGAGGTTGGCCAAGGGCTGAGTCATTTTACCAAGAGAAGGCAGCAACAGCGTGTCTGGCAGTTTCCATTTTAGGCTCACGGTCACATGAAATTTCTGCCAACATCTCTTAGGTTTCTAGCGCTGCTGCCAAAATTGCTCTCGATTAATTGTCTCAATTAATTTTCTCAAAATTGTCCACCCTAGAGTAAAATAAGGATGTCTCCGGTTGCTGAGTTTAAAGCAGGCTGGAGTCAACGTGTCTCGGGTGAGCTACTCCAAACACATCCAGGCTGACTTGGGCAGAGCTCCATGTTTTATCCCATGTCTAGTACTTGATGCTGTCATTTGTGGGACCAAAGAACTGTGCTAAATCACAGAATCACAGAATAGTAGGGGTTGGAAGGGATCTCTGGAGATCTTCTAGTTCAGCCACCCTGCTAAAGCAAGTTACTCGGAGTAGGTCATATAGGAAAGTGTCCAGCCAGGTTTATATCTCCAATATCTCCAGCCTCATCATTATCAACATCAGCTTCTTTCACGACGGCACCCTTGGCTTTGCTCAGCCTTTGGTACCACTGCAGGTAGGTAGGAGGGAAGTGGGACAGAGGACAGAGTGACATCATCTCTGGGAGTCAGAGAGCGAAGCTGATTGCTGCAACACCTGACATGTGGGCTTGTAGCTCCCCTGGTTCCCCTCTAGTACACGTTGAACACTGAACTCCTATAAAGCTTGCTCTTCACAAATTCTGTTTCCTGTATTTTTCACCCCAGGGACGTTCTGAAATGGATAAGTACCTCTCCAACCAGATGCCACCCATCCCCATGATACCAGACAAGAAATACCGCCGGGAGAGTGCCTCAGTGGTAGATGAGTTTTTCTCAACGGAGAAACCCACTTCCACGCCTTACAGCGTGAACATCAATGTCATCCTGCCCGACACCACGCACTTACGGACTGGACTTTACCGATCCCCCAAACCCATGACGCCGTTCACACAGATCAAGACAGAACCTGGCACCAGCTTCTCCCAGCCCTGCTCTTCCACATCAGGCTCCACGCAGACCCTGCCTGACTTCACCAGTGTCTTTAGCATGCCCCAATCAGTGGCAGTCAACAACATCTTCATCAAGCAGGAGATGCCTTCTGATATCTCGCTATCCAGCAGTTCACAGCAAGCCCAGTTTTACCAGATGCCTCTTGGCAACGGCAACGCTGATCTTACCAACCTGACACCCTCCTCAAACAGCACCACAGCCATCAACAGCCTCAGTGGTGTTACCATGTCCACAGGTAACGCCATGTCCAGTGTGCTTCACAGACATGTCCAGGCTGGAGGGCCAGTTAAGCAGTACCCACATGTCTCCCAAGGACAGGAAAACTTCAACATCTCAGGGCAGTTCTATTCTGTGCCAGGGGTGAACCTGCCACCTTCACCCCCCAACTCGCAGCCTGGCAGCCCAGAAAATCAACCAGAGCTCATCAACACCATCTCTCCCCCACCATCCTATGAAGCTACTTTTGGACTGAAGCTGGTCCAGTCATCCCAGGTCCCTCCAGTCCCCAGCAGCCTTGGGACCCTCTGCCAAGGGCACACTGTCATGCAGACCCTCAAATATAACAGACGCAACAACCCTGAGCTGGAGAAAAGGAGGATCCACCATTGTGATTACCCAGGTATTTTCACTGTTTTGTCTTGGTTTTGGGATCACAGGGAGACTGCGGGCTGCTTGGAGATTGACCAAGAATCACTCTGTCTGTGTGAGGAAAGGTGACATGGTACTGAGTGGAAAGCCCCAGGGAAGGTCCTCCCACCACCAAAGCAGTAGAAGAGGCTGGTTCTCTCTGCTCCCATTGATGCATTTTCTCTGCCCTTCCATTTTCCAACTCTGGCAGTAGCAAGCCTGGCTCTGAGAGGCAGAGGGTGCTATCCAAGCATGGGGATGCCCCCAAAAACCAACTAACTGCCTTAGGAGTCCACTGTACTCTACATGGGCAAAAACATGCCTCCTGTCTAACTTTCCATTCCCATCCTCCCATGAGATGTAGCAAACCATCTACTGATTTCCACAAGCAACATTTTTAGTCTCTTTATGGCACCCAAATTCTCTTCCTTTGCAAAAAGAAAAGAATCATACCCATCAGTGGCCTTAGGTATTGCATCTAGGTGATTCTATGATTCTGACGTTTTGATGAAAGCTGTCACCACATTTTTGTGATTAGCAGCGTGTGCTGAATTTCTGCCTCCTGCTCACAGCTGTGGGAGGTAGGACTGAGGTGGTGTAGATGGACCTTGGCTCTGGGATGGAGGCTGCTCCTCTGCTTCAGTCAGGTTGGTCAGAGTCATGTCCTTCAGGACACATTACCAAGGTGCAGCTCTCCTACAAGCCAGACTGGCTGCTCCAAGAGTACGGGAGAGAAAAAATGGGGAATCCTCAACCCTAACCTCTTCTTTAGCAAAAGGGGCCAAGCAGGGTCCTGCAGATGGTGAAGAAAGATCATTTTGTTTCTCAGGCTCATACCCTAAGCACTTGCTCACCTCATTTCTGCTTAGAGCTTGGCCTGTTTCAGTCTTATTTCCATCAAGGCAAAAGTGCAGAGAGGAGCTGAAATGCAGAGGTTGGCCTTCACTTTCTGAGGCACCTGTTGCAAGCAAATACTGTGACTTCCACAGACTGTGCTACAGCAAAAAAAAAAAAAAAGAACAAAAAAAAGGCATTCCCTCTATTGAGTGTTCAGCCTTTTGCCAGATGTTAGCTTTTCTTGGAAGCTGAGAAGGGATAGAGGAAGGGCAAGGTGATGTCCAGGTGGGCTTTCCTCTGCGCAAACTGGCTGTTTGCCCTCCTGCTTGGCTAATGGGGTTGTGGGCCTCAAGGAACTTGGGACAGCCCATCACAATAAAGGGAACTGCCAGAACTGAAAGTGTTGATCAGTCATTTTGGTTTTCATTGTTAGGAGCTTTGCCACTGGGAGGGTATGGTGGCTTTCATGTGTCCTTGCTGATCAGGAGCTGGTAGACCCGGCCAGAAGTACTAGCTTCTCCTTTAACTGAATGAACACTCTTTCTTTTGGAGACATCTTCTTCTGAAAAACCAAAAAGTTTTAGCTAAACTGGGCTCCATGGGATGTGCTCAGCTTCTCTGTCCTCTCTCTGCTGGAAGGCTGTGAGTGAGCACAGGCGTGTGTCTCCAACAAAGGGAGCAGAGGTTGGGAACTGTAATGCCCCAGAGCCTTTATGAGCAGTGGTGCTCGAGGACCTGGGCTGCTGAGAGTTCTGCTGGCATGTGAAAGGTTTGGAAAATGAAGGTCTAACCCAAAACTGCTTAAAGAGTGTTGGTGGGAAGAGGTATACAGTGCATTGATTGCTGGGGGCCTTCAGTGAAATCTTCCTAAGAGCTCAGGCCTTTTTTTGACTCCATCTCACTTGGAGTGATGACTGTTCTTACTGTCTGCAAAGTCCAGTGGAGAGGGATGCTGCTGTGGGCTCTCCAGTATGGCAAACAGTATCTGCAGGTGTGGTGTTAGATTGGTGGCAATGCCAGCGTTGGGAAGATAAACTGTACTTTGCAAGTGAGGGGGAAGTAGCACAAGGTTTTATTAGATGATATGGAAGCATGGAAAGAAAAAATATGACCATGTTGATTAGAAGGGTAATAAAAATTCAAATTTATATTTTAGTATTCATGTCAAAACTAAATGAAGCAGGGCCATAAAGGCAGCATGAGGAGCTTCTTCAGACCAGGTGAAAGGTAGAATGGGCAGTCATTCACTGAGTGATGTTTGTTTTTGAAACTCTTGCCAAAATCACAGTGTTTCTGCTGAGAGCCTTTCTCTGATTGGTGGTGCTAATCTGAAAAACGTCCCACCTTGTGCCTCTTGGGAACCTGCCTCATCATGCCTGCTAAGTCTGTTGCAGAGCCCACTTTCCCTCTCACTTTACCATAGTGGTACCAGTGGCCTCTGGAGCCCAGCTGGCAGCTTGTGGTGGTGAATCTGATATTTCCATCCTGCCTGGAAGGCCAGGGAAGTTCTGAAAGCTGGGGTCTGGCTTTATCCCCTGTAGTTCCCAGCACAGTCCTTATGACTGTCACGGTTGTGTAGCAAGAGATGGAGAGTTGTCAGTGTTTGTCTGTGCTGGGGAACAAGCAATGTCTTTAGATATTGCTGAAGCAAAATGGAGATGTCCAGGCTTATTTGCATCCTGCTACCGGTGTGCTTTTCAAGGCCCACTCTGTACTTAATCCCAAACATGAATGTTCTAGGTTTGTTCCAACAAGAGCCCCTTTTTCACTGGGAGGTTGTCCTTGCTGTTTTCACAGGTTGCACAAAAGTGTATACCAAGAGCTCCCACCTGAAGGCGCACCAAAGGACTCACACAGGTAAGAGCACAAAATCCTGCCAGCAAACCTTGCCAGCCCTGAGCTGGGGTGGCTGTCAGGACAGCCTGTAGATGCTAATGGTAACAAAAACCCCATGGTTGCACTGGTTTCTGAAAACTTTATGCAGCTCGCTTGCCTTCTGGAGGGATAGTCTAGGACGCAGGAAACTCCTAGGAGGTTCTCCCAATGGGCTGGGAGGAGGAGGTGTTCCCAGTCCTCTGTCACGTGTGGCTTGAAGGATCCTCCTTCCTGATCTCACAAATCCTGGCCAGCTCAGATCCTGCCTAGCCAACAGAAAAATTGCCTATTGGCACGTGGTACATATCTTTGACCTCTGAAGAGGTGTCCACAGCTCCCAAGCTGCATTTTCTGGGCTCATAGTGAGCTCATCTCTTCTGTGAGACTGCTTGCTGCCTAGTGGCCGTCCTCTGGCTGTAGGGTGAGGGTGCTGAGGTGAGGCAAGGGCTGGTGTCCCCGTGCTCCCACCACAGCCAGCTGGCCTGCAGCAGACCCAGCTCACTTGTGCGTTCAAGCACAGGTCTCCTCATTAAGGTATTTATTATACCTGAAACTTTATCAGATCACCAGGTAGTCCAGGAACCATCAGTGCCATCATAAATCTCTTTTATAGGAGGGCTGATCTTTACTGAAAGCAATTAAGCTGGCCCAGAGTTCACTTTTCTTTTTTATGAACAACGAACAAAACCCATCCTGAGGCTGGGAATCAGCTCTTGCACTTGGCTCTGTTCCTTTTCCACCTTATCAGCCCTTCCCACAAGCTGGCCAGAAGACTTTCTTTGTGCATGAGGTTCAGTATTTCTGGGCAGGGAGCAACACGGAAGGGGTGGCACAGACATGCAGGAAGGACATTGTCCCAGCACCGATAAACCTTGGTCACAACGGTGATCTGTGCATGGGGCCACATGAGGGGTCTGTCTCTAAAATTAAATCTTTTTCCTCTCCTTTTTGGAGCACCACTTAGGGATGCAGCTTATATGAGACCCACGCTGTCCCTGCAAATCACGCTATAAAGATGTATCCAGGCAAACTTGGGTGGTTTTTGAACCCAATAAAGTGCAGTCATTTTTCCGTGTTTCCCAGTAACAAGGCAGGAAACCAAGCTTGGTTGCCATCTTCCAGCTCACCTGCTGCAGGAGGAAAGGGCAGGGGGCCCAGGAAGTGACCTGAGCCACAAGAGAGCTACCAATGGTTGCCCAAAAATGGGAACTCAAAATTGAAGGCTACATGCAGGCAAGCTCGGGGTGTGTGCGTTCAGTTTTTGAGATCTGTTCTTTCTGCTAGGAGGGGTTAAGACCGTGGGAGCACACCATTACTCAGGTCTTTTCTTGCAGTTTGTCCGTTGCCATGGGCTGGGCTGTATTCATCTCCTGGAGACACCATTCATTTCCTGGGTGCCATTGTGAGATTAAATATATAACCAATCCGCTCCCCGCCCCCCAGGGCTGGGAATGCCAGCTCGGGCCCTTTGTTTGAGCTTGCCCTGCCGTGCTGTCCTGGGAGATGGAGCCAGCTCACGGGACAATGGAAAGCATTTTCCCTCCATTCTGGAGCTCAACCTGGTATTGTTTGAAGCTATAGGGCCTTGGTGGGGTTGACCCAGCCAGGTCACCTGCCTGGGACAATGTCTGTGGTTGCACAGTGCAAATCGCGCTTTCACATGCCAGCCTGATTGCTGACAGACCCCTGCACCTGCCCTCAAGTCTGACTGCAAGTGCTGCCTTTACCCCCCATCAAAAAACACACCGTGCAGAGCTTTTTGGGGAGCAGGATGTCGTATAAGTGCCCCATCTCCTCCAGATACACCTCTGTGCATTCAACCCTAGAATATTTGGTCTGGTGTGTGCTGGAGGCTGCTCCTTTTGCTACGGCCATGTGTTTTCTGTTTCCCAGCCAAATCCGCAGCCCATCTGGCAGCAGGGCTGGGGGTGGAACGGGCCGTTTGCTGGTGAGCGTGCCGGAGCACCGTGCACATGCCCATGCATGCACGCTGCGTGCGTGCGTGCCTTCATGCCGCGATGGTGCGCTCAGCAATTGGCCGATGAAACAGTAAATATTTGAGGTCGGGAAAGTCAGCACATTCCCTGAACTCTGCCTGCTTGTTCAGGCTGTTAAGAGTGAGGGCTAATATTTGAGAGCACCACACCCAAGCAGGGAGAGGGCTGCAGCCAGGGTTCAGTGCGGTGGCCAGGAACTGCTGGCGGGCACGGGCTTCTCCAGCCTGGTTCCCAGCTGGCAGAGGGTTGCACAACACAACACCATTGATTTCGGTTGGGGAATAGGTGTGTGCGGGGTGAGGAGGCATTATGTCATGCCTGATGATCCCAGGAAAACTCAACGTCCAGCTACTGCAGGGCTGGGAAAACTGGGTGGTGGTTTCCAAGATGCAAGGCTCTGAGAAGCCTCTTCTTTCTCATGGTGCTCCCCTTATCCCAAATTAGCAGCAAAAATAGCAATTTTTGGCTTTTTAGTCAAAAAGAAAAAGAGCTCTGGAAGATTTGTGCACAGAAATGCTCTGATATCCAACGGGCTTGAGGTACTGACCTCCCATGGCAGTGACCTTTATGAGTGCAGATCATCACTGTGGTCCTGAAGTGGGGCAGCCCCAAGTGTCTTTTAGCCATGCTGGAGCAGGAGATGGGCGCAGGGCAAGCTGGGCAGGCAGGTGGCCGTGCTGTTCTCTGCATTCTGATGGTGACCTGTGGCTCTTCCCTGCAGGTGAAAAGCCCTACAAGTGCACCTGGGATGGCTGTGACTGGCGCTTCGCCCGCTCTGACGAGCTGACCCGGCACTACCGCAAGCACACAGGTGCCAAGCCCTTCAAGTGCCTGGCCTGTGGCCGGTGCTTCTCTCGCTCTGACCACCTGGCACTGCACATGAAGCGGCACCAGAACTAGGGACCACCTCCATTGCTATGTCTCCAACGGCAGCTGGGACTCTTCTTCGAGGGAACCTCTCCTCCACTTGTACATAGGAACAACCCTGTGCTTTGATCAACTGGCAGGACAGAAGGTGAATCCCTCCCCCACCATTCCTGGTTTTAAAACAGATACCATTAAAAAAGAATGATAATTACAGACTGATCTTGCCACAAAGCTCCTTGTGACACCAGGGCTATGGGTCTTGGGTGGCAAGGTCTTTCTTCCAGCAAACCTGCTATTTATTTGTCTCTTGGAACCAGCTCTCCTTGGCGTCTTGAGCTCTTGGGGATGTTTTGCCCTTCTCAAGGTTGTGCCTTTGGGGAGTCAAAGGATGGCTGGGAAGGCTGGTGGATCAGGGTGTCCCATCAGTTGGATCCCATCAGGTGGATCAGTCCCATCAGTGAAATCCTCTTGGACTGCCCCATTTCATGGCCATGATTGGCACTGATGACATGGAGAAAGAATTGCAGCCTATGGCTGCTTGGGTTGACAGCCCCGGTCTCTGTGGGGGCATAGAAGAAAGTATGAAATACTCACAGAAGGGACAGTGCAGAAGCTGTATCCTGTCGAACCCAGGGCATTTGCCCTGCTTGGATAGATTTTCTAATTACGTCCGTAGCATTTCTGCTTCCAAGATGAAATGTGATTCCAGATGAATCTGAGGGGACCAGAGTGGGTCTCAAAGCCACGCTGGGGACAGCAAGGAACTCACCTGTGAGCTCTGGCTTCCCAGAACATGCCATGCCTTTCTCCAAAGGGCAGGTTCTGCTTAAGCCTTGACCACATGCATGAGGAACCAGACATCACCCATCGCACTGGGTCTGGGCTGTTGCTGTTTCACCACCGTTAGACAAAAGAAAGGGGAAGAAGAACCAAAGAAACATCTTTAAAACAAATTCCAATAAATCCTGCTGTTCAGAATGTGATCATGTTACCTACCTCACTGGTTTCCTGCCCCAAGCTCTGCAAGGTGCCACCCCCCACTTCCTCAAGTGCCATGACGCATAGGGCACGTTGGCTCCCCTTCAAAGCCTGCCAGGGCTTAGGTGTGGGCAGAACAAGGACCAGGCCACGCCAGCTCAACTGGCAGCTGTGGAGGTAATAAATAAATCAGGAACAAATAATGGGCCTGGTGCATTCAACAGAATGTTGATGTCCCCGCACCCCAGCTTCTCTTTCATTCTTCCTTGAACAAAATTAAGGAACGTGTGAATGGATGCATTTTCTCACCAGGAACTGAACTGCAGCATCTTGAGGCGCATAAATGATCTTTTGCTAACTGCAGCCATGGACGGCTCCAAGCTCTGGTCATGGTCACGTCCTCATGTCCTTACTTTAGCTCTTCCATCATGGCTCGGTGGGGAGCAGTGGCTACAGGGGCCAATGGACTTATCCACGTTTCGTCCTTGTGGCTGTGGCGTCTCTGCGTGTGTTGAGGTCTGGTGTGTACAAGTGGTAGAAGCCAACATACTGGGGCAGGTGCTGTTGGTTTCTCCTCTTGCTTCCTTTTGGAGACCCTCAGGACAGGATCAGGGCAAAAAGGGCTGAACCTCCTAAACATGTGAGTTAAACTACAGGGCACGGGATTGACCAGCTCACTGCATGTGCCATGGGGCTGGTGGTGGGCTCACCCCTCACCCGTCACTCTCCCAGAGGGACTTCATTGCTCCCCCCTTTTATTTTGGGGACAGAAACCTCCAGACAGCTGCCTCCATTTCTATCTCCTGGGGCCCAAAACCCACATGCTGACAAACAAGAAATGCTGATCCAGGCAACAGGCAGCTTTAAATCTTAGGGGAATTTGAAATAATTTACCTGATTATCTTTTTTTTTTTTTTCACTACAGAAAAAAATGCATCTGCTCATCCTCACATAGACACACATCTATACTTTTGTTGCATTTGAGATTATTTTTATGGGGGACTGGGGAAGATGTGCCATAATGAATAATCCACTCCAGTCCATCTTTGCACCTCTGGTCTGTGTGCAAAATGTTGCCATGCAGATATTTTACCAGCGCAAAGGCAATACTGAAAGAATCCCCAGCAAAACCAGAGTGCATCTCAGCTTTTATTCCTTTATTTCTGTCTCCAGCTGTGTGTTCGGTGGCTGAAGGCAGCTTTGCCTGTGAGCCCCAGAATCAGCTGGGGCAGGAGGGGAGGGATGCTGAAGGAGCAAAGCCAACAGCAGGGGAGAGATAGGGAACTGAGCCGGAGGAAGGTCTCTCTGTACCCTGTCCCTTCCCAGGGCAGACAGGAGACACTGGGGAAGGTCTGGGAGCCAGGGGGCTCTTCCTGCAAGGTTTCCTGTGCTTTGTGCAGAACAAACCCAGCTTTGGCAGCTTGTATCATAGCAGCACAACAGCTGTAAATAGGAAAGCACTGCATTGCTTGGCATGTCTGGGTGGGCTGAACGTGATCATTCACTGCCCAGAATGAGCATAGCGAGAAAAGTAATTGGACCTGGAAAACTTGGGTGGAAGGTTTATTTTTTTTCCGGTGATGCTTTTTGTTTGTTACACAGCCCCTACAACTATTAATCTATCTAATATTTTGTAATAAAATTTTATCTCATGGAGATGGCGTCTCTCTTCCCTCCTGTTGTAAGTAGTGCTTCTGTTGCCTTTGTCTGCTACTCACGTGTGTGTGTGTGTGTTGGTTTTATAAGCTTCATAAAAGAAAAAAGGCTTTTTTGTTTGGTTGGGTTAGGAGAGCAGGTGTCCGAGCAGGGCAGGACTGGTGTGTGACGATAACCTGCAGCACCAGGCACTGCTGGGAGCGCAATTCTGTGGCCTAGGCTGACACTTCAGAGGAATGCTGAGCTCTTCCTCCAGCTGATGTTGCAATGCTGCGCAGAGAAGGAGGGTGGGAGAGGGTTTTTGCTGTCCAAGAAGGCTCATGGAGTTCCCCCACCTTTTGCCCTGGAACGGGAGAAGGAGCAGCCCTGAGGGATGTGAGCATCCTCCTGCCCAAGGGTTTAGACGAGAGAGGAGGGATGAGGAAGTCCTGGGCTGGAGAGGCAGGCAAAATCCCCTTTGGTGTTAAGTCTGTGTGTATACGTACACCTTTGTACACATGCAAACAGCCAGCTGCACATCGGCCAGGGCTGTTGAGCTCATGCCTTTTGCATGCGTGCACCTGCACAAACATCTACAAGTACATATATAGTAGAAATATGTATTGGTAGGCATACGCACACACTCATATATATTTACCCTGTATGCATACAGGCTAAACTAAACAGCTCTATAAAAAAATGTTTCTGGCTGGACCTCATGTGTCTTATCCAACATCTTTGTGTTTGCCTTCTGGCTACACTTGTGGAATCATGAGCCTTATTCCACATTAAAATCAACATTTTTGTATTGCTTTTCATAGGGCTTGTGTTTCAATCAGATTTTCCAGAGAAATCCTCCTCTTTCATTAAGTGTCTTGGTTCCCCCACCTGGAACTCCATTAAGATGCCGAGGAGTCTGACATTCATTTTTTAGACAGTCCCCAGGTGTGGCACTGTTTTTCTTTACAAGTTCTTCACCTCCCTCTCTTGTTTCCAGGCTTCAGTATCACCCTCAGATTATCCTGGTGAAGGGATTGTGAGAGCAGGACACCAAGTCACACACCTTCTGTAGTCACTTCTCTGCAGTTCTGCTTCACATTACCTGGACAGAAATGGAAGCAGTGCCCGGGGAGCCACTGTTCTCTATGCTGTGATTGATGCCAGGACCCGTGGGAATTGGGATCTACTCCTTCACTGTATAGCTGGCAAAGGGTAGCATTTGCTGTTGGCTTCAACTTCTGAACAGCCTAAGATTTACCTTTCTGAAGTCTTCTGTCTGCAAAATAAGGTCATAACTGGGGTGGGAGAGGGAGGGGATAATGTTGACCGTGGGACAGGGGACCTGTGGCACGAGGAAGGTGGTTGGGGGCTGTGGAGAAGATGGGTGCTTCTGTGGAGTGAGGCATTAGGAGGATGTGCAACAGCACCTAGAGCCCCTGAGGAGGTCTGGGAACTGTGAAAAGCTTTGTAGATGTCCCAGTCAGTCATGGATGGGCTGATGGGTCCAAGCCTCCTTCTGAAAGCCATCTCTTTCCACACAACTGTTCACAGGAAACTCATTTTGATGTATGGTCTCACGTTGGCTGGTAAGGACAGAACCAGGTTGTCGTTCCTCTTTGATAAGTGCCTTCCCAGCTCGTGCAGTGAGACATCACATGCCCATCAAGCTCCTCCTTCCACCCAACACATTTCAGTTTGCCCTTTGGCCCACCACTGAGTCCTGCACTTTGTTCTGGCTGTGGAGACAAACTGTTCTTGGCGAGATCATTGAGAATATGAGGAATGTGATGTCATGAAAGTCCAGAGAGTGGCTGTTTATTGCATGTGAAACCAGAGCGTCCTTCCTCAACAGAGCTGTGGCTGGGAAACCCCCGCCGAGGGCATGAGAGGAAAGTGTGGATGGGGCTGCCGTGGCTGCTTCTCCCTGATGGCTCTTGATGGTGGTGTTTCTATGTGGAATGGGAACCCTAACAGCCACAACCTTTCAGGCCCATCCATGGCTGTCCCTCTGTTCATCTGTAACCCCATTGTCAAGAGGAATTTCCTCCATGCCCAGTCTTTAGGGATAAGGCTGGTTGGAGCATATTGAGGCCATCATGCAGCTATGAGCAGTGGGACATTCCCCACTGTGGCACTGAGAAGCACGGAATGAGGCTACATACCCTTAGCTCCCTATCCTTGCCCTTTTCCTCTCCCCAGGCCCAGTGCTGGACCCAAGGGGTGGTGACGCTCTGCTCTAGCCCACAGTTGGAGGCCCTGAGAAGGCCCTGCCTCCATGTTAGGGCCAGCTGTTATTGTTTGGGCTGGTGAGGCCATCCTTAAGACAAGCTGGGATCTGCTGGGAGGGCACAGCTCCATAAAGCAATGGAGCATTGTTTTGTGTTGGGCATCCCTGAGAGGGATGCCAGGCCCTGGACAGGCCCAGTGGCTCCTCTCCTCTGAGAGGAGGAAGCAACAATTAAAAAGAAAAAAGAAAAAACCTTTACTCCAAATGCTGTCAAGTCTGGGATGCAGCTCGAATCAGGCTCATCCCTGCTGAGGTTGTGTGCTGAGGCAGCACACAAGGGCCTCATTCTGCCAAAAGCCCTTCACCATGCCTG